AACTGCAATAACAGAAATCAAAACAAACAAAAAAATTAAAAATAATGAATATTTCCATTTTGAATATTGCTTGGAAAAAATAGATGTATGCTAGATTTTGGATATTTTCAAAGTGATTGGAGACATATTTTTTATATCTAATTTAACTTCAAAATGTGAAACAGGTTTCCTTTCCCTTATGTTCTACCAGCAATTAATATGAGGCACAATCATATTATAAAGTAAGCATTTACATTTCATTTACACTTTTAAAAAACTCTAGAAAAGACACGGTTCTGATATTCTACCTAAAGAATCTCTTCTACAAAAATCTTTCCTGGTTACTCAATTCCATGCATTCCCCATTTTTTCCTTAATACTTTTTACCCCACCTTGCTATACAAGGATTTGTCTAAACATGTATGCCCCTACCAGAACATAACCTCCTGCAAAGATCAGGTCTAATTCACTTCGTGTTTCTCTCAGCACTGGGCTCTGACCATAGCTGGCCTTCAATAAAAACTATAAATCAAAGCAGGCTACTGCTTTAGGTGAAAACAGCTGACATTAAACTCAGGCAACTCCTCTCTATAATTTTAACTCATAATCCTAGATATGGTGGCACACACACTGGACTGGGGATCATCAACAGCTCTGTCACTGATTGCCTCTACAATCTTGAATAAATCAAAAATCACCGAGGCCATAAATTTTTAGGATCAGGAACTTTGCACCATGTTTTCCCAGACACCCAGCATTTGATAATTGTTTACCACTTCAGCCACCGCACACCCCTATGCAAAACCCTTACTTTATGATGATATAGGGATCAGCTTTAAATGAATGATAAATTACAGGCTATCATTCCCATTCCCTTTTCTATGTAAGATCTACAAAGTCAGACCACAGAAAACGGTTATTTTTTTTTTCAAACATGTCTAATAGGTGTTCCTTTCATGAGCTTTTAAAATAAAAAACAGGAATTGAAATTCTGGTAGTCTTTATCAGTAATAATCAGGAATGTTCCAGTTATGCTCCTACTGCTCCTTGTAAGGATGAAAGAATTTTCCAAAATCAGGTCCAAAGGGCGGGTAGGAACTCCGCTCAGAAAGAGTACAAGAAAAAATAATGGGTAGGGTTGCAATTATTTCGAGCAGAAGCAGAGTCAAAGTTGCCTCTTGGAGAGACAAGAATTAAGAATACAACAAATAAACGAGCCCCATTCTACAGTGCTGCCCAAAATGGAAATGTTCTACATCTGCACTGTCCAGTAGTGCAGCCACAAGCCACACCATGACTGTCGAGCACTTGAAATGTGCCGAATGAGGAACTGAGTTTTAGATTTTACTTAATTTTAACGAACTAAATTTTTTTAAATAATATATTACGTTATTTTTATTTATTTATTTATTTGAGAGAGAGAGAGAGCACATGAGAGGGGGGAAGGTCAGAGAGAGAAGCAGACTCCCTACCGAGCAGGGAGCCCGATGCGGGACTCGATCCAGGGACTCCAGGATCATGACCTGAGCCGAAGGCAGTCGCTTAACCAACTGAGCCACCCAGGTGCCCTAACTAAATTTAAGGAGCCAAATGGGGCTAGCAGCTACCATACCGAACATGCAGCTACAGATTCCCTAAGTCTGTGGGTCTCAACCAGAGGCAGTTTCCCCAACCCCCAGGGAACAATTTCTTCATTTGATGACTTTGGTTCAGAAATGCTACTGGGAGAGGCCAGGGATGCTGCTCAACATTCTACAATGCACAGGACAGCTTCTCACAACAAGAGCATTATCCAGCCCAGAATGCCAGGAGGGCTGAGTTTAAGTTTACTCAAGGTTGGAATTAAAGTAAATGCAAACAAATTGCAATACACTTTGTCCAAATGTAATACCCAGGAAGAACGAGCTTTTCCAAGCAAGAGGAAAAGGTCTGGGCTGTTGTACAAGTTTATTTTTTTTTTTAATTTTTTTTAAAGATTTTATTTATTTATTTGAGAGCGAGAGAATGAGAGACAGCATGAGAGGGAGGAGAGTCAGAGGGAGAAGCAGACTCCCTGCTGAGCAGGGAGCCCGATGTGGGACTCGATCCCGGGACTCCAGGATCATGACCTGAGCCGAAGGCAGTCGCTTAACCAACTGAGCCACCCAGGCGCCCAGGGCTGTTGTACAAGTTTAAAGTGGCAGGTTTTTACTGAAAAGTGTATATAGGTTTGTTAACTTATTAAGATCTAAAGCATCAGAGTAATTACTTCCTGTGGCATTTTTTAAAAATTGATTATTAACGTAAGTAAACATTGTGAGACTATGCGACAGGGCCTTGTTCCTTATGAGCTGGACATAAGAGTATTGAGGGGCTGAGGCTCCTACATCTACTCTTCCAGTTTGAATGCGCTGCCCCTTCAATTGACCTGTCTTGGTTTCTTGAGACCTCCCTAAGTTCAGATACAACGGATAGTACTGTGAAAGAAAAGTAACCAAAGAAGACGGCTCTGTCATCGCACGTCTCCCATCTACATATTATCTAAAGAAAAAGCAAGAGTACAGGATATTTGGACCAAAGGAAATGTACTAACTGATTCTACTAAATGATGATGGACTACTACATTTTAGAGAGAGCGATTACTTGAAATTAGAGGATGGGAATCAAATAACATTGTGGTTTCTGTAGCTAGTATAAATTATGCAAGGATCAGTTTAAATGGGATCATTCAGAACTGCTCCAATAGTTTATATTTGCAATGTAGAATTTAGCCCAGAGGAGCCTATTCCTCAAAGAAACAGGAATAATGGACACAATTCAATGTTTTTACTTTGATTCAAACTATTTTTCAGAACATGAAATCCTCAACATTCATATTATAGCAATTCTTCCTTTTCTGCCCACTTAGCACCAACAGAAATTGTTCATTACATGTGAGGCCCTCTATTGCTACAGGGAATACAAAAATAAGACATAGTCTTAGTCCTGAAAAACTTACATTCAGAATTTCCACACTGGCCTAAGGCAGAAACTTCCAGCCCACACATTCTGAATTCCTCAAAGATCACTGCCATTTTTGTGAATGTTCCAGTCTTAAGCACTCTGGAGTTTCAGTACCTCTTCAGATCTTCATTTAGAGAGTTTATGATCTTTTATCATCAATTAACATTTATAGGGAGAAACCAGTATAACTGACTAGTTAAATGCCAGAAAAGTAATATTTAAAGTGGGATTCCAACCCACTCTGTTTTTGCAGATTTGCCTATAAAAAACTATTCTCGGAGGAAAGATCACGCCAGTTCTTTAGGTTTCTAACTGAAAAGACACAAAGCCCATCCTGTCTTATGAAACTGGACAGGAAACAACACTTGAAGGGGCAATCTTAGCATCATTTTATATTCAACTACTGGCGTTACACATATGATCTAGACCAGGGTTCTCAGCCTCAGCACGACTAACATTTTAAGCAGATATTCTCTGGTATGGAGGCTCTCCTGTGCAAGGTGGGATGTTTAGCAGCATCCTTGGCCTCTACCCACCAGGTGCCAGCAGCACTTCCCTATCCCCGCCCCCCACCCGTTGTGAAAACCAAAAAGGTCTCCAAACAAGTTGCCAAATGTCCCCTAGGGAACAAAACTGCAACCGTGGCTGAGAATCACTGACCCAGCCTGTAACTCAAAAGTACCACAAGGTAGACACTGTGTACTAATTAAAAACCTGGAAAAACTTCATTCCTAGCCATCAAAACATATAACGTTAAAAACATTTTTCTTTTCTGGACTGCCTTCCACCCAATTTATGAGAAACCTGAGGTGTAAGCTATACCACTGTGTGCACATGAAGATATCTGGCTGAACTGGTACAATTACTCCCTTCAACTTTCCAGTGACAAGGGAACCAATCTATAGCATATCCACACCGAAAAAAAACATGACAAAGTATGTCATTTCTGCCAGTTCAAAACCAAAACGAGACAATCTCAAAACACTAGCACTGCTCCCGAATTCTGCATGCACAAAAAAACGAAAACAAACAAAAAACAACGAAGAAAACCCACAAAAAAAAAAACCCAAAACCGGGTCTGCAGGAGCAGACTCCCAAGCTTGAAGAGGAAGAAGAACTTGGAGGGAAGGCAGAATGCCAGGTTCTGAAGACAGGTATCCATAAAGGGATCCAAACACTGGTTCTCACGTACGAGCCCTAAATCCGGGACAATTAGAATCCACTCCCTTTGCCATAGTCGTCAGCCAGGTACATACCGGGGATGCTTCCCCAAGGAAATCTAGAGGAAAGCGAGGCTATCAGGGGATTTCGGATTCCCCACCCCTCACCCCACGGAAAGGGGGAGCCACAAGCTGGGGAGTAGCAGCAACCCCCAAAACGCAATTCACCATCTACAGAAGACCCATCCCTTCTTGACCTGGGGGGGCGGGGGGGGTCCCTCACAGGTGTTCACAAACTACAGCATCAGAATCACGTGGGGGAACTTGTTAAACAGGCAGATCCCCGTCCCGCCCCCATGTGGGTCCGACCCGACGGCCGAAAATCGAGGTGTTTACCAAGGGCCCCAGGTGATTCCTATTCATGCTGAAGTTGGAAAACCACTGCTTCAACATTGTTTTCCCCCTAACTTGGAGACCACAGAAAACCTAACAGGCTTGCAGTTGGCTCCGAAACCACCGGGGCTTCTGTCCAGGCTCTTCTAGGGCCGTAAATGGTTAGCTCTGTCATCCGAAAGGGTGAGCCGAGCTCGGGCAGGCCCCAAGGTCGGCCCCGCGGCCCCCGCACTGGGCTCCGGGCAGAACCGGCCCGGCCTCTCCCGGCCCACGGGGACCCGAGGGACCGCCGGCCCCGTGACGTGACCAGGCCTCAGCCGCGAGCGCCCGGCCGGACGCCCTCGCGGCCAGGCCTCCTCAGGCAGGGCCAGTTAGCCCCCGGGCCCCTCCCCGGTCACAATGGTAGCTCGCGACTGGGAAACAGTCGCCCCAGAGCCGGGGGGCCCCCGGGCCACAGCGCCGCCCCCCAGCAGCCCGAGTACGGACCTTCTCCAGGGACGCGTCCATGGCTGAGGCGGCCGGCGGAGCCCTATGGAGGCTCCGCGGTCCCAGCGCTACTTCCGCCTCCCGCGGACCGCCGCGGTTTCCACGCTGGCAGCGCTGACGTCCCCCGCGGCCGCGGCCGGCGGGGCGGAGACGAGGAGGCGCTGCCGGGCGACGCCGCGGGGTGGGCAGTCTGCGGGTCTCAGGGAGGCGGGGCGGGGCCCCTCGGGGTGGGCGGGGCCCTCTGGGCTTCCGTACCTGGCCTTCACGCCGGCCAGCCCTAACGTTCTCAGGTGAGGGGGGGCGAGGCAGGGTGGAGCCGCTCCAAACTTCCAGAAGCCCGTCGCAGGCGTCGGGATAGACATATAATAACCGCAAGTGACCACTCCTGCGCTGAGAGGCTGGAAATGCTCGTGACGCACCTGTAGTTCCGGGCCTAGGCTTCCAAGTTTCCGCCACTGTCAACATCCCTCAGGAATGGAACAGGCCATGCTCCACGGAAGGGCGGGGCTGGCGAGCTTCCCCGCGCATGCGCAGGACCGGCAGTTTACTAGGTGCCGAGGGGTTTGCGGGGTGTTCAGGTATTAGGTTCCCAAGTGACGCGTGCTCAAAAAAGGGTGCGATCTGGGGTATTTGCCTCAGATCTTACCGCAGGATTCCAGACGGAAAAGACTTTGAGACAGCTGCTCCAGCTTCCTCCATTATGTCAAGCCATAATTATGACTTGTCAGGTGACAATAATAATAGCTGCTCCTGTTCCACTTTATACTGTAACAGCCCTATGATGGAGAGATCGTTGTCTATTTTCCCAATGCAAGTCTAGGTAGGATCCAGACCCAAGCACCCTGACTGCAGCGCCTGTCCGTTACACATACTGCCTCCATAACCGCTTCCATCCCTGCGGTATAATCATGATGTGTTTCTAACAAATGGGAGAGGGTATACATTTGCTTATTATATTCCTTTAATGAGGAAAACGTAAATAGACTAGTCTACCACGTTTGCAGCCAGAAAAATACTTCACCAAAGACCGATGACGTTAAAACCACAAAACCATCCCCTTTCTCTCCTGTGCACATCTCTTCTGAAATCTGCGTAAATGACTGGGTCACATTTTCAGTGTAGTAGTTACATGTTTTGTGCTATCTAACTTGTGTTTGGTAAATTGCCCAGTTATGTTAATAAAATCGTTTTCTACCAAAAGAAGCCTTGTGTGCCGGTTCATAGTGTACCATGGGAACTATTCAGATTCTCCAAAGAGTTCTGCAAACAGAAGGAAAGATAGATTTGTCTATTTATGTCTTCCAAGGTCTAACATTGAATGTACCTCTACTTGAGCAAAACAAATCACTTTTTCTAACTTATGAAAACGTTCAGGGAACCTGGCTGGCTCAGTCAGTTAAGCGTCTGCCTTCATCTCAGGTCATGATCCCAGGCTGCTGGGATAGAGTCCCCCATCTGGCTCCCTGCTGGGCGGGGAGCCTGCTTCACCCTCTCCCTCTGCTCGCCCCCTCCTGCTTGCTCTCACTGTCTAGTGCTCTCTCTCTCAAATAAATAAATAAAATCTTTTTAAAAAATTGAAAGAACTGTGCAGTGAACAACCACGTGCCCACTTTCTAGATGCTACAATGAACATGTCCCTATATTTGCTTTGTTTCATAAGCATCTATCCATCAATATGTCTTCTGTTTTGATACACTTCAAAGTTGCAGACATCAATATATTTCACCCCCGAAGATCTCAGCATGGATATCATTCAAAATTCATAATTTCTAAAGCCACCTCCAAGTATCTTTGCATTATATTACAAAGTAGATTCTACAAAACAAACTAGAGAGATGAAACTAACCTTTTCTATTCTAAAAGTAAACTTTAAAACATGAAAATTATTCCCCCATGAAAAAGTGGGAATAACTGGTTCGTTTAATATTTACCCAAATAGTGCTGGCTTTGGCAGCACATATGCTAATATTTACCCAAATATACTCGTTGGCTGCCCCCTTGGACAGTTATGTGCTAGAAATACAAAAATAAGATACTATCCCTGCCTTTAAGGAAACACTGTTTAGAGCAGGGGTTTTTACTTTGGGACCCAGGGGAAGGCCTGTGAAACTCCTGAAACTATACCCCAAATTTTGTATGTGAGTGCATTTGTCTGGGGAAAATGTATGGTCCATAACTTTCATTTTATACTCAAGTCTGTTAAAACCACTTGCCTGTGGATGGACAGATATATAAGCTGATAAATTATAACTCAGCATTCTATGAGCTAGTACAGACGTAAGAAAAAATATGGTAGGAAGCCAAAACATGAAATCACTCATTGTGAGAACATTTGGCTTATACGTGCTGATATAGACCTTTTCTTGATTAATAGGCAAAAAGCAAACCAAATAAAAAAAGTTTGTGGTTATTTTCCCCTTTGAGTCCATTCACATGATTTTTGTTGCATCCTGATTGATATTTACATAACCATATTGTAGATGTTGCCTTTAACCTGTAACTTTTTGAATCAACCAAGTGACACATATGGAAAATGTATTTATTATTCACCATGGCATTGTAAAATTAATAAATTACCAAAAAGTGAGAGGGAAGAAGCAAGGTGAGTAGGAATGTAAATGGAATCACGAATGTCTTCAACTTCATTTCAGAGTGTAAGTAAATACTCTTTAAAAGGGCTAAATCAAGATTCAAAATTTTAAGTGTAATATTTAAAGGCATAAAGAGTGTTCACTTTCATTTCTAGAAGAAATAAAATTAAGTGACAAAAATCAGGAGGCAGAGAGGATAGGAGAGCTGGTGCAAATGGCAATAAATTTCCCATTTTTCAGAGCAAGGAAACAATAGATTCTAAATTAAGAAACAGATACAAGGATTTTTTTTTACAAAATAAAAAGTGGAAGCTTCTATGGAATGGGAGTAGGAGTTCAGAGATGAGGGAAAAGAAATTGGCAATATCCTATTTTATATTCTTCTGCACTATCTGAATTTATAGCATTTGCATGCATTTCTCTTATGAAAAAAAAAGTTAAGTAAATTACCTATAAAAAATAGATTTCAATCATTTTTTAAACCTTACCCAGCAATTTCAGAGAGAAGTGTGCAATTCCTAAAGGCGACTTGAGGTGGCAACGCTGAGACCTTGCTTCATTAGTTTCGCTAAGTTCATGAACATAGTTTAAAAAAACAAAACAGGGTGCCTGGGTGGCTCAGTTGGTTAAGAGACTGCCTTCGGCTCAGGTCATGATCCTAGAGTCCCGGATCGAGTCCCACATCGGGCTCAGCAGGGAGCCTGCTTCTCCCTCTGACCCTCTTCCCTCTTATGCTCTCTCTCTCTCAAATAAATAAATAAAATCTTTAAAAAAAACAAAAAAACAGGTTTTGTTGTTAAAATATAGGAAACAAGGGCACCTGGGTGGCTCAGTCATTGAGCGTCTGCCTTCGGCTCGGGTCATGATCCCAGGGTCCTGGGATTGAGCCCCGCATGGGGCTCCCTGCTCAGCGGGAAGCCTGCTTCTCCCTCTCGCACTCCCCCTGTTTGTGTTCCCTCTCTCGCTGTGTCTCTCTCTGTCAAATAAATAAATCAAATCTTTAAAAATATATATACAGGAAACAGCTTAAAAGAAATGAATTGTCCTTTTGACTAACACCCTATAATCACCATCCCCTCCATGAGAGGAACCTTCTCGGACACCCTATAAATCCTCTGGGAGCCCCTGCCTGAAACAATCCCAGCTCCCCCACCCCAAGAAAAAATAACCACTTTCTGACCTTTACAGCAATCATGTCCTTACAATTACTTTGTAGTTTTACCACCCAAATATGCATTCATAAATGCTATAAAAATATATCTATAAATATATATACATAGTTTAATATAGTCTATATACATATACACTCACTTTTAATCTATAGGTTTTCCTATATCTTTCTTTTTCCTTTACATTTAATTTATTGAAGACATCAGGTTACTGTTCTAGAATTTTCCTTAGTCTGGATTTTCCTCTGTTCTCTGTATTTCCTGCAAATTGGTAGTTGGATCTAAGGCTTAATCAGGTTCAGGTTTGAAGGTTCTGCGGACCTATTCAGAGACGGCTGTTGTTCTCTTCATCAAGAGGCATGCAGTACCTGGTTTTCTCTTTTTGTGTTGTTAGCAGGCATTAACATTCCTTACTTTATATTAATTCTGACCTAAATGAGAAAAGCTGTGAATTTTCTCATGCCACCTACATTTTTATATCCAAGGAAGTTTGCCAAGATACGATTTCTTATCACCCTTTCGTTGTTGTCTGACATAATTTTAGACGTAGGAAAGTTGCAAGAGGCGTACAAAGAACTCTTAAGCTCTTCACCCAAATTCCCCAAATGTTAACATGTCACTGCATTTGTTAAAATGAATACATAAATATGAATATACACATATTTTTTCTCTGAATCATTTCCTATTTGGTTGCAGATGATGTCCTTTCATCTCTAAATAATTTAATGATATTACTCTATTCATATTTTGACAATTTTCCCTGTAAAGTCCTTAATAGAAAGTCTGGAATAGGGGTGCCTGGGTGGCTCAGTCAGTTAAGCGTCTGCCTTCGGCTCAGGTCATAATCTCAGGGTCCTGGGATGGAGTCTGGCATCGGACTCCCTGCTCAGCAGGGAGCCTGCTTCTCCCTCTCCCTCTGCTGCTCCCCCTGCTTGTGCTCTCTCTCTGTGTGTCAAATAAATAAGTAAAATCTTTTTAAAAATTTTTCTAAAAAAAGCATAAAAGAAAAAAGAAAGTCTGGAATAGTGTGCTCTCGAATGGTTCTTTAGTTTTCATATATCTCACAACAGATTGGAATACAGGACAAATACTTTGTAGAATGTTCATCAGTGTGTGATTTCCACCTATTTTTAGAAGATCCTAATGTATATTTAGAATGCTTAGTGCTTTTCCTCCATATGAACCTTGTATGGACCAGAGTCCCACCTGATATAGAAGTAGACAAATTTCTTATTTTTTTTTCACAAATCTCAGATAAGAAATAATCATGTTTTCCTCCCAAGAAGCCTACAAAAGATTATAAAAGTATTCTTTCAACTGTAGACTTATAAAGCAAAGGTATAAATATTGGATTACACAGGGGCCAGCTTTTCCCTGGTTCATAGAAGAACACACTGTACGAGCTCAGATTCTAGATCCAAATAAATCTGGGCT